CAAGCCCCTACTTGGGCTCTGCACTCGGTGGGGAGTCTTCTTGAGTATTTTTCTCTCTCTCCCTCTGCCCTTCCCCCCCATGTGCTTGCACGCTCTCAAATAAATAAATAAATAAATAAATAAATAAATAAATAAATCTATCTTTAGAAAAAAATGTATTTTCTCACAATTCTGGAGACTAGTAGTCTAAGATCAGGGTTCTGGCTAATTCTATTTCTAGTGAAGGCTCCCTTCCTGGCTGCAGATGGCTGTATTCCTGTGTTCTCACATGGCAGAGTGAGAGCTCTGCTGTCTCTTCCTGTTCTTAGAAGGGCACTAATCCTATCAAATTAGGACCCCACCCTTAGGCCCTTACTTAATCTTTATCACCTCCTTGCAGGCCCTTTCTCTAACTACAGCCACATTTTGAGTTAGAACTTCAACATACAAATTTTGGAAGGATACATTCAGTCTATAGCCCCTGCTCTCTTTTGAATTTTTCAAATATTTTCAGTATTCCATTTAATCTCCTCTATTGGATTTTAAGCAATGGTTTCTCTAGTGTTATAGTATGTAACACTATATATAATGTATTTACATATATAATGTATTTAATATATACATATATATTTTACACATATAATGTATTTAATACTTATTGTTTTCACTTTTTTTTAAAAAGATTTTATTTATTTATCTGACAGAGAGAGAGTGAGCATAAGCAGGGGGAGCAGCAGAGGGAGAGGGAGAAGCAGGCTGTCCACTGAGGAGGGAGTCCTATGTGGGATTTGATTCCAGGACCCTGGGATCCTGAGCTGAAGGCAGATTCTTAACTGACTGAGCCACCCAGGCACCCTTGTTTTCACTTTTAATAGTCTGTAATCTTTTCGTGAAATAAAAAATACAGTTGATAATATTTATCCACATATGTAATGTTTACAGTGCTTTTCATTCCTTTTGCAGATTCAGGTTACTGTGTGGGATTATTTCCTTTCAGGGATGGACATTCATGAGCCTATTACCATAATAAGCAACTACCACTTCAAATGAAAGCCTCTTCTAGTAGTTGCTCCCTATGGAAGCAACTCTTAACTCTCTCTGGAATTTGTTTATTTAGCTTTCTTTATTTTCAGAGTTCCCTAATGTCTTTAAGGACAAATATGGGTTTTTAACTTAACCAGTTTGTTGTCATTGTTGCTGCACCAGCTGCTTTATGGACACCTTAATCTCACACTGCATCCCATTAGATATCAGTAAACCTCTGTTACTATCAGTGTTTTGGGCAATAAACAAAACTAACTAAACTGAAGAGGGGTCAGCATTCATTGTACAGCTCCTAACCTCTGCCCAGCCAGTTTCCATGAAGGGTTTTTTTTTTTTTTTAATGTTTTTATTCAAATTTTAGTTAACATGCAGTGTAAAATTAGTTTCAGGTGTACAGTATAATGATTCAATACTTCCATACAAGCCCCGGTGCTCATCACAAGTGCACTCCTTAATGCCCATCACCTATTTCTCCCATCCCCCCACCCCATTCTCTTCTGATAACCATCAGTTTGTTTTCTGTGGTTAAGAGTCTGTTTCCTGGTTTGCCTCTCTCTCTTTTTTTTCCCCTTTACTCCTTTGTTTTGTTTCTTAAATTCCCCATACGAGTGAAATGATATGGTATTTGTCTTTCTCTGACTGACTTATTTCACTTAGCATAATACTCTCTAGTAGTTTTTTTTTTTTTTTTTTTTTTAAATATAAGAATGAAAGTCTTCCTAATCAGCACTGAATCTCCTTTTCAGGCTATTTTTCTTCCCCTTTCATGCTTCCAACTTTATTCAGCCTGGAGAACATCCTTTAATATTTCTTGAAGTGAATGCCTACTGGCAATAAATTCTCTCAGCTTAATTGTCTGGAAACACCCTTATTTCACCTTCATTTTTTAAAATGAATTTTCAATTGGTATAGAATGTTAAATGGGTCCTTTTTTCAGGTTACTACTTGAAAGATAACATTCCATTGGATTGTAGCTTCCATAGTTTCTGTTGAAAAGTCAATGAAAAAAAATTTTTTTTTAATGTTGATCTTCTGGAGGTAATGTGTCTTTTTTTCCACTGGTTGCTTTTAAGGGTTTCTTTCTTTTTTTTTTTAAAGATTTTTTTAAATGTATTTATTTGACAGAGAGATAGAGAGCACAAGTAGGCAGAGCAGCAGGCAAAGGGAAAGGGAGAAGCAGGCTGAGCAGGGAGCCCGATGTGGGGCTCGATCCCAGGACCCTGGGATCATGACCTGAGCCGAAGGCAGCCGCTTAACCAACTGAGCCACTCAGGCACCCCTAAGGGTTTCTTCTTATCTTTAATTTTTAGCCACTTGGCTCTGATATACCTGGATGAAGTTTTCTTTGTATTTATCCTGCTTGGTATTAGAAGAGCTGCTTGAATCTGTGAGTTGATGTCTTTGATCAGATATCGAAAATTCTTCATTGTTATTTTTTCAAAAAGTATTTTTCTGTAACATATTCTCTCTCCTCTCCTTCTGGGACTCTGTTCATGGCCCATATCTCTTTAACATTCTATCCTTTCCATTTCTCTGTGTTTCAGTTTGAATATTTTCAATTCATATGTTTTCAGTTTCACCTATCTTGTCTTCTGCTGTGTTCAGTCTGCTGTTAAATCCACTGAGTTCTTAATTTCAGATATTGGTGTTTTGTAATTCTAGGAGGTTCATTTGATTCTTTATTATAGTTTCTAATTCTCTGCTGAAATAATGTATCTTTTAATCTATTTTGTCTACCCTTTCCTCTTTTTCTTTTAACATATTTTTTTTTAAAGATTTTATTTATTTATTTGAGAGAGAGAGAATGAGAGATAGAGAGCACGAGAGGGAAGAGGGTCAGAGGGAGAAGCAGACTCCCCGCTGAGCAGGGAGCCCGATGCGGGACTCGATCCCGGGACTCCAGGATCATGACCTGAGCCGAAGGCAGTCGCTTAACCAACTGAGCCACCCAGGCGCCCCTTCTTTTAACATATTGATCATAATTATTTTAAAGTTTTGTCTGCCAAATCAGGAATATCTTTGAGTCTATAGTTATTGACTATTTCATCTCTTAATTATTGTTTTCTTTTTTGCATTTCTATTAATTTATTTTATGCTGGATATTATAGATGGTATGTTGTAGAGGCTTATCTGCTTATAAAAAGTATTGAGTTTAATCTGGTGGGAAGTTAAATTACTGGTAGATCACCTTGATCTTTTTGAGGCCTTCTTTTTAGGTTTTCTTAGGGCAAGTCCATTTCTGCTTGGTCCTTACTCCTAGAGTGTAGCCTTAATCCTATGGCAATTCCTATGATGTTTCATTTATCCTAGAGTATTGCCTTTCTAGAGTTTCACCTGAAGGTGCTCATCAAAGTCTCTCTATTCTGGGTGGGCCCAATGCCAACTGTCTTTCTTTCCCCAGAACTATGCAAACTTTATAACTTTTCATAAGTTTTCACGTGTGTAGTTGCTGTTCTCTGTCAGCCTCCTGGACACTTGCCTGAAATAGTGGGGCCTGGGCATTGGCCACATCAAAGGAGAACTTCCATGAAGATTTCTGGGGTTCCCTCTCTGTTCCTTCTTCACAATCACCTTCCTCAAGTTCTGGCGACTTTTGCTTTTATAATCCCCAGTCTCTGCCTCTTTTACCCAGTGAGACCATCCCTCCTTGTACTGTGGCCTGGGAAATGTTCCCAGTGAGAGAACCTGGGTCATTGTAGAACTGTGATAATGGGTTGGCCCAATAATGCCTACTTCAGATCAGCTACTTGTATTTTCTTAGTGTTTGCTTAGATCTTCTGCCTTATCCACATACAGGCACTTGTTAGGGTAAAGCTCATCTTTTGCCCAATATTAGAGAGTTATTAAAAGTTTACTAGAAGCCATCTATTTTTCATGTACTTGATCTCTTGTCATTGCCATGACAAGGACATACGAAATAATCATAATATTAGTATAGGTACAGTGTATATGTACCAATTGCCAGGCATTGTTTTGAGCCTCTTATATATTTGTTATACATACTCATTTAATCCTCACATCAACCATATAAATAGATACAATTCTTTTCCTGTTTTACAAATGGGGATTCTTAGAAACTATAGAGATTAAGTAACTCTACCTCCCACCCCCATACATACTATATAAATGGTGGAATTCATGCTTCAAACCTAGGCAATCTGGCTTCAGAATTTATCCTTTTAGTGATTTCATTATTGGTGGTATTGTTTTCATTTTATGGATAAGGAAACTGAGCTTTGGAGAGGGTGGATAACTTCCCCAGTGTCACAGTGCTAGTAAGTGGCAGCATGAGGATTTGAGCCACTAGAATCTAAAGCCCTTGCTCTTTCCTGTATATCATAGTTCCTCCCAAAGAGAGAAAGAAGATAAATGTTTACATTTCTGGGAGTTTAGTTTAAAAGAATTTTGTGGGGACTTAGGAGGGGGCCAAACAGCTTCCTTTCATTTTTAATGAAAATAATATCTTCTTATGCATATAATTTGCTGGCTGTTTTTTAGCTGGGCATTGGAAGGGAGTTGTTTTTCCCATAGACGTGGTATTTCTGAACACCTCTAGGACTCACTCCTATGGAAGCATATTGATAGCTGCGTGAATGTCAGTTTTGGGAGTTGAAAGGTGGCAGAGCCCAACCTTGAGTTCCTTTGCGTACACTGGGACATGTGATGCCTACCTGATATGTGTGTTTTCCTTTAGGTATGAGCACATGTGCTCCTTGGGTGTTTCATACACTTGCCAGCCATAAACAGAGCCCTTGAGAGGGTTTGAGACACCAAGTATTTCTGTTTTGTTAAGGCTGCCAGGCTGAGATCAGGAGAGGAAGTTGGTTCTTTTGTCAGGGAAGTCAGACCAGGTTTTTCCCTTGTGCCATGCAGCATGTTTACACATGTGCCAGAGGCTGTAGAATGTCCTGGGGAGGGAGCCGCCCAGAACCCGTGTGTCTCACCTGGTCTCTGATACCGACCATCCTTTTTTGCAGTGTGGAGGCTGCGAGCATCGGATTTGTCATCGTTATCGACCGGCGAAGGGACAAGTGGAGCTCCATAAAAGCATCATTGACACGAATAGCTGTAAATATTCATTTTTATGCTGTTATTACAACTATTTCCTATCCAAGTCACGGGGAAAAGGCAATTGTTTTATGCCAAATTTTGGGAAGGTCTTTGTAGCAGAGGCTATTGTGTCATGTCCATTATCCCCTCTGCCACCTGCAGGTCACTGCAGACAATTCCAGAGCCCGTCAAAAGCTTCCTGAATCTCCCTTATTGACCTCTGTGGTCACTGAAGAGGGGCAGAGGGAGTGCTGGGAAGTTAATGCCCTAGGAGTGATCAACTATTGAGTTATGGGAGTTGATGGATAACTGCCGCAGCCTCCACACCCCTCAGTGGGACAATTCTGAGATATGTACCACACAGACTCTCAGAGGGTCCCAGACCTTCTTGCCCACAGCAGTGCCCCTTCTTGATACATTGCCTTTCTTGTTATCACTTTCTCACTCTCCCCCACTCCTTCACTGTGTTTCCTGGGATCACCTCCTCAATAAACTCTATACCCAAATCCTGGTTTTAGGGTTTGCTTTGGGGGGGGAGGGTCACCCAACGTAAGCCAATCTTCACTTCAGTATTCAAATTAGTTTTTCACAGGTTGAAAGATACTGGAAAAACCAGACAAAATATGACATATGCTTGCTTTTGGTATGAGATTGTACAACCTTGGATGAATTTCCTTTTCCATTTAATTAGTCTGATTTTCATTCCTGTTTGTTGCCTTTCGGCAAGTCGATGTATCCTTTCTCTCTGCAAGGACCTCAGGCCAGGGAACTCAACCACATGAGCAGGCAGAGATACCTTAGGGCAGCCTTACCAGCATTTCCACCAAGGCACAGGCTCCCTAGGGCAGTTGGGACTGGCTGAAGAGGATGGGATATGATAGGGTGATAATGTGCATGTGGAGGCTGGGATGGGAGAGGGACAATCCAAGCCTCATTTATGCCTACTTCCAAAGGTAGTCACGCATGCAAACATGCACGTATACGGAGTTTCAGATCTAGAGCCTCAGCCAGAAATACAAATAGTGTCTCAGCCATTTATCTTATCTTGATGTAACAAAATGCAAGCCTCTTCTGTTTAGGAGCTTGCATTTCAAACACTGGGGCAAAGGAAGACTCCCTTTTTTTGTGTATGGATTGTTTTGTTCCTTTAGCTTAGTTTTGGCTACAGGATTTATTTTTGGGATAAATATAATGGTGGTTGATGCTTAAGGCTTTAGACACTTGACAGTGCCCATGAATATTTTAGAGGACTGGCCTCAAGAGAGTTCTGGTTTTCCAGGGCCCCTTGACAATACTTGAATAATATAATACTTGAGCCAAATTTGTTCAAGAATTACATTATCACTTTATGGGTAAAAGACACTGTAGCACAGGGATCCCAAAACCTGGCTTCTAATCAGACAGAATCTCTTCAGGTGCTTGTCGAACATACGTATGTGGACTTCATCCCAGTTCTAGTGAATCAGAATATTCCAGACTAAAGACCAGATTACTTTTTAACAAGCACCTTAGGAGGTTGCTTTCGGGAACCACTAGAAGGAGAGAAAGCCGTGAGCAATGGGAGACTTGGGGTCCCAGTTGTGCCATTAAGTTGTTATATGGATCTGAGTTATCTCATTTCTCAGGAACTTGCCTCAAGATGAAGGCAATGCTTCCTGAAAGCTACTTGGCAATAATATGCATCAGGAACCATTAAAATACTAAGTCTTTGACTCAGTAATTCTTTTGGGAAACTATCCAAAGAAAGTGTTCCAAAATGTGGATTAAGATGTTTATCTCAGTGTTACTTATAAGTACAAAAGTATGAAAAAGCCTAAATCATTAGCAATAAAGGATTGGTTAAGTAAATTGTGCACCCACGAAATATAGTATTTCCAAAGAATTTTTAAATAACAGAAATAAAAGCTTATGGTATAATATTAAGGGAAAAAGCAGGTTACAAAATATTTCTACAGTATGAATTTAACTGTGATAAAGATATTTCAGCAGAGAAAATGGCCTGTAAGTAACTAGATTGGAATATTAAAAATGGCTATAAGATCATGGGTGGTTTTGGTGGTTTTCTTTTTCTAATGTATACTTTTATTAATTTCCAATTTTTTCTATAAGGAGTATGAAATACTTTTATAATCAGAAATTTTTTTTTGATTTGTTATAATTTTTAAGGAGGGGTTTGGATTATTCAAACACTATCTCTTTCAGCTCTGAAATCCCGTGATAGATACTCTAGTTCTTTGGCATCTATGGCGTCTACTTAAACTTTCCTGTCTGTGATCTTGGGCAAAAGGAGACCAATGGATGTGACATTTGCCCTGACACTTTCTGTGATCCTTCCAGGTAGCATTTCCAGGAAACTTGCAGCTCATATTCATCCTTCGTCCATCTTGCTTTATCCAGAGGACATTCACTGACATTGGCATTAAATATTATCGAGATGAATTTAAAATGAAAGTGCCGGTAAGCGTGACTTTTCATCTTGTCTGCATTTGGTCAGGGCCTGTGGAGAAGATGGCATTGGAGCTGAGTTTCTAAGGAAGGTAGGACTCCATGGGCAGAGAGCGGAGGGCATTATGCATAGAGGGAACAGCGTGTGTAAGGACATGGACGCAGGAAGGACATACTTTATGTGAGGTCCACGGGGAAGCCCCATTCTTGTTGGACTATAAGTAGGATAATTGTTTGGAAAAAAAAAGAAAACATGGAATAGGTTTTCAGTGTAAGAATAAGAGGTCTGGATTTTATTCAGTAGGCAGTGGGGATCCAGTGAAGTCTTTTCAGTTGCGGAGTGACTTGGGAAGGTGGTATTGGAGTTATATAATCTAAAGATAGTGTTCTAGACTGTAGAAAGTGATTGAAAGAGGGAGAGGTACTGTAATAGTATGGGTAAAAGAAAATAAGAGTCTAAGATAAATATAGGCAACTGTAGAGTAAAAATGAAACCAATATGTGATACTCATAAAATGAAAACAAAATGACAAGATTAAATATTTTACCGATAACTGGTAGAGATGTGGGGAAAACAGGCATGTTCATACTTTGCCAATGGGCATGAAGTTGGTAATGACTGATATGAAGGACTAACTGGCGGCATTGATCGAAAATTAAACTATAGGGCTTTCGGTTTGTGGGGGACCAACGTAGGCCTCAGGCAGTTTGAACAGTTTAACTCCAAACATGGATATCAGACCAAATCATACAATTTACATCAACAATATGAATGACAAAATTAAAAAAGAAGAGTTGAAGAGATCCCTGTATGCCCTGTTTTCTCAGTTTGGCTACATTGTAGATATTGTAGCTTTAAAGACCATGAAGATGAGGGGGCAAGCCTTTGTTATTTTTAAGGAACTGGGCTCATCCACAGATGCCTTGAGACAGTTACAAGGATTTCCGTTTTATGGTAAACCAATGCGAATCCAGAATGCAAAAACAGATTCGGATATAATATCTAAAATGCGTGGCACTTTTGCTGACAAAGAAAAGAAGAAGGAAAAGAAAAAAGCGAAAACTGTGGAACAGACTGCGGCCACTGCAAACAAAAAGCCTGGTCAGGGAACACCAAATGCAGCAAATACCCAAGGAAATTCAACACCAAATCCTCAGGTCCCTGATTACCCTCCAAACTATATTTTATTCCTCAATAATTTACCAGAAGAGACTAATGAGATGATGTGATCCGTGCTGTTTAATCAGTTTCCTGACTTCAAGGAAGTACGTTTGGTACCTGGGAGGCATGACATTGCTTTTGTTGAATTTGAAAATGATGGACAGGCTGGAGCTGCCAGGGATGCTTTACAGGGATTGAAAATCACACCGTCACATGCCATGAGATCACCTACGCCAAGAAATAACATATGGGAGAGTTGTCTTTAAAGCACTTGGTGTTATTTATAGTGTTTGTTTTGATAACATTTGGTCAGGCCATTTTTTAATAGTTGGGATGAGGGGGAGTGAAAGTGAAATTTTTGTGAATGATTTAAAAAAAAACCTAGTCTTTGTTTAGCCTTCGTGAACTATGAAATATGAAGGACTCAATTTTGTATAGTAAACTTTTATTTGTTTTCTTTAAAAAAAATTAAACTATATACACTCATTGACCTTCCTATAAAAGTTATTCCACAGATATTCTCACACATGTGCATAACTGTGCATATACAATGATATTAATTACCAAACTGTAAGAACACATGATTAGAAATACCATAATGACCAACAACAGGGAAGTAGTTAAATAAATAATGGTCTACACGATCAACTAAATACTTTGTAGCCATCAAAAGTGATAAGGCATGATACAGTGAAAACAGGTGGCAGTTACCGTACACCTAACCTATGACCCAACCAAGAGAAATGAAAACACATGTCTACAAAAAGGCATGTACAAGCAAGAATGTCCTTCAACATGTGAATGGATAACGAAATTGTGACATATTTGCATAATGGAATAATATTAAGCAATAGAAAAGAGTGAAGTACTGATTATTATAAGAACATAGACACATCTCCAAAATATTCTCCTGAAAGAAAGAAATTAGACATTAAAGAGTATATGTTCTATGATTCTTTTTATATAACATTTAAGAAGAGGCAAAACTAACCTAGAAAATCACAGTGAGGGCTGCTGTTATGGGTGAGGGAGAGTGGAGATTGATTGGAAGGAGGCACAAGGGAATTATCTAGGGAAATGTAGATCTTGATTGGATGGTGTTACATGTGTGTATACAGTTGTCAGAACTAATTGAACTATACCCTTAAAATCTGTGCATTTTATTGATGTAAATTACATCTCAATTGAAAAAGAAAAAACATAAAAAAGGAAAAATAGGTAAGATGAATCTATAGTGATAGAAAAGTTTCTAATGCATATTTTTTGTTTAGTTGGAAATAATTTCAAACTCAGAAAAATTTCAAGAATAAGATTAGTACAAAGAACATTCATTCTCTGCCCTTTACCCAGATTCATTCATCTATTGTTAACACTTTATCCCCATTTGCTTTATTATTTACTTATTTTTCCTTCTCTCTATAGATGTATACATCTCTCTCTTTCTCTCTCTAATATACATATATACATATGTATATTTCTCTATTTGTAGTATATATAGATACATTTGCATATAAAGATATATATAAGTGTATGTATTATACATATATGGAATATGTATATGTGTATTTGTATATAGAGGATCTAGTTTAGGATCAGACGGTACATATAGTCGTCATGTCTCTTCAGTTTCCTTTAATCTGAAACATTTCCACAATCTTTCTTTGTCTTTTATGGCATTAGCATTTTTGAAGAATACAATTCCTTAAAAAAAAAAAAAAACTACTTTATTTGGGGCTCATGTGATGATTTCTCAGGATTCGATTCAGGTAATGCATTCCTAGCTGGAATACTGCTTAAGTGATGTCATGTCCTTCTCAGGGTATCACATGTGGAGAACATAGTGTTTATCTGCCCTCCCATTGGTGACGTTAATTTTGATTCCCTGGTTAAGGTGTTGTCCAGTTTCTCAAATGTATTATGTTTCCATTGCAACTCATACAGAAACATTTGGAGAATTTTAAGATCATACAATTATCCTGCTCCTCAAAAGATTCCTCTCTATATTTAATATCTATTGATAATTCTTGCCTGGAATGATCTTTATTAAATTGAATGCAAAATAATGATTTCCCAACTATAATACTCTCTGAACATATACTAATCAGAAGTTGGGATTCTACTGCAAGGTAGAACTTTCCCTTCTCCCTTATTTATTTGTCTGTTATCATTAGACATATAGGTATGTCTCTCTCTATATATGTAAATATATTTATTTACTCTAGAAATCGTAGAGTTCACACTGGTGCTTTAAATTTTAGGTCATCATCAGTGACCCCTTATGTGGGAAACTTTACACTACTTTCATGTAAAAAAGTAATTTAACCTTTAACAGTAAAATGTCTTGGCAAAACCGAGAAAGCATCCATCATAAATGCAAGATACTTTCAATAAAAAGAAAGTTACATCGTAGGTGGCAAAAGAAAAATTTAGATCATCTAAGATGTATTTTTAAGTAGGGATAAAAGCAAAGGGAAAATAGGATGGATAGTATACTCCCATTTGAATAAAATGTATGTGATTGTGTATGATAGCTCACCTTGGGAAGGCTGTGTAAGACTCAAGAAACTGGTTGAAGTGGTTGCCTCCCAGATATAGAACTGGAGGTCTGGGGCTATGGGTGAGAGGAATACTATTTTCAATTTAGCTACACTCTTTCTGTTTGCATTTGTTATCACACGTTATCTGTTCAAAACAAATGAAAAACCTCGCTTTAATTGAAATTGCTCTGAGAAAATATTTCATCCATCTCAATGAAAACTGACTATCTCAGATAAGAGATTTTTCTATTTCTTTTCCCACTCTTATTTTCCCTCCTTTTGTTTCATTTTATATTAATACTCAAATTTCTGAAAATATTTCTTCCCTGTATTTTGGGTGTTAACCAGACACAAAATGTATTTCCTATTCTATTTTAAATACTTATTTCAAAATATTTGAGTATTTAAAGAGAAATGTGAGCCATGAGTTTCTTGTTTTGTTTTCCTGAACTGAGAAACAACATTGGGGAAGAGATGACTTACAAGAAATGAATAAACTTTTTGTAATCCTCATAAGCTTCTTTCCCTTCAGAGATAAAGAAAATTGTTTCTTGTCACTCAAAAAGGTTTGGAGTTAGAACTAAGCTTTTGACCAAATGTCATATAGGTGTTTCCCTGGTTGTGTATAAAACACACCTCTCCAAGAGATAATATGCTTACAGATACATATGTGATTTATGCCCTGCTTTTCATGTGGTGCGTCTGTACTAAAGTGAGAAGGACCATCTACTTTATGTTGATACTATGTCTTTAGTTACTTCTGTTTGTGGTAATGTGTGTTGATTCCTTACCCATCATATTTTCAGTTTTAAACTTAAAATCAACTTTTTAAAAAGCTCTCTGTCACCCAAACTAAAGGCTCATTTAGTGTAGGACATTTTTTAATGCTAAACATTCACCATGTCAGCTACCATTTTTTTAATGCTAAACATTCACCATGTCAGCTACCATTTCACCTGTGGAAGATGATCTCACTGTTCTGATGCACCATAGAGTTCAGTGTAATGTTACCAAACTTGATGGAACCAGACGTCAAAATACATTTAACCTTTTAAATGACAGCCCAAACTGTTGGTTTGTCTTCCTTACTTTGTTTTTATTTTTTTTAAATTTAAATTTTACTTAGTTAACATACAGTGCAATATTGGTTTCTGGAGTAGAATTCAGTGATCCATCACTTAAAATAGCCAGGGCTCATCACAAAAAGTGCCCTCCTTAATACCCTTCACCCATCCTATCCCATCTCCCCACCTTCCTCCCTCCATCAACCCTGTTTGTTCTTTATTGTTAAGATTCTCTTTTTTTTAAAATTT